ACAGTCGATGGGTGTACCAAGTTACTACCAACTGATCTAGGCCACAGTTGCTCCTCCACTTGGGTACTGTTATCCTCCTGCCCCGATTTTGATTTTTGAATTTTAAATTTTTGAATTATTTTTCACAGCTCATACGATGATTGGCAAGCTTTAGGAAAAAAAAATGCGCGTACGCAGGCACAGAGATGAAGCAAGAGTAGTTCCTCACGGACATCCGTTAAAATTGGAACGATACAGAGAAGATTAGCATGGCCCCTGCGCAAGGATGACACGCATAAAATCGAGAAATGGTCCAAATTAAACAAAAAAACAAAAAAAAAGAGATGAAGCAAGAGCAGTTCCTCACGCAGATGGACGACATGTGTTTGATTACTGTTCTCGGCAATTTTACGCTATGCCTGTTCTGGTACATGGGTACCCCACCAGTCTCTTCCTCGATGACCTCCCACAGCCCCCCCCTCCATATCTCATTTGTTGAGTAATTGATGCCGTTCCACAGATCATATACAAATGTGCAAGGTTTAGGGTTGGGGAAAAAGAGGCTAGGAGGGAGCCGCACACCGTATAGGCCCGAGGGCCCCTATGGTGTAGTTTACTGGGCCGAGGGCCCCTATGGAGTGTAGGTTCCGCGTACCGCATGGGCCCGAGGGCCCCTAAGCTTTTATGTTATGGGTTCTCCTGTCTTTCCTGATGGGGTTCTTTGGAGCCCCTCCACCTCAGTCAATTTCAGTGATTGAAGTTCATTAAACCACCACTTCACAAACGCAGGCACAAAACCCGAGTGCAAAGGTTTAAACTTTAAAGTTTAAACTTTAGCTCTGCAACTTTCGGGGCCTTGGGGCTAGCGGACCAAAATGGCTGGTGCCGTCAACCAAAAAGGGAAGAAACTGTGCCTGTTTGTTTTTCTTTTGGTGCTCAGCACGACTTCGATTTCGATTTCGATTTCGATTTCAATTTCGATTTCGATTTCGGATTTCGATTTCGATTTCGATTTCGATTTCGATTTCGATTTCGATTTCGAATCAGTCGAGACAGCCTCGGACGGTGAACGCGGTGGGGTTTAATGGGGTGCAGGACCTGCATGTGAATTTTTTGCCACATCAAATAAATGGGTATACGAGGTCTTCAAATCTGCATGACGAGTCTCGCGTTCGCTCTCTCTGTCTAAATTTGATAGTGGTTAATGGAGTGATTCATTGAGTGCAGGCTTGGCGCAGCAGATTGGCATGAGGGTCTATAAGTTTGTACGGGTATGTCAGTCTTCCCTGAAGAGCTCCCGTAGCCCCTCCATTTCACACTGTGATTATTTGAGTGCAGGTTATGTATGAATCGGGACATCAAATGGGGTCAGGTTCAGACCTCTGAGCTCCATGAGCTTCCGTTGGCCCTCTCTGTCTCATTTGACACAGAGTAATGGAGTGCCGGCTTGGCTCAGCGAACAGGCATGAGGGTCACTAAGGTAGTATGGGTTCCCCTGTCTTTCTCGATGAGCTCCTGCAGCCCGTCCGTCTCCTTCGGACCGTAATTAATTGAGTTCAGGACCTCAGGTCTTATACTAGTTGGCGCATCAAAGGGGGCGAGTCCGATCCGACGTCTGAGCTCCATGAGCTTTCGTTGCCCATCTCTCTCTCTCTCTCTCTCTCTCTCTCTCTCTCTCTCTCTCTCTCTCTCTCTCTCTCTCTCTCTCTCTCTCTCTCTCTCTCTCTCTCTCTCTCTCTCTCTCATTTGACAGAGAGCAATCGAGTGTGGCTTAGGGTTTGGCACACCAAATGACATGAGGGTGCCTAAGCTTGCAGGAGGAACAAAGAGGTTCGATTCAGTTTTTTCGACTTTTTTGATGTTTGTAGTATGAGCTTGCATTGTTAGTTCGTGAAATTTTCGACGACGTTGCTTGTCGTGATGTGGCGGAAACCCCCAACCCAAATTTTGGGCCTTCCATTAACCATCTCTCCACTAATGTTTGAACCCGAAACCCAAGACACAGAGGACGATAGCCTTCATAGCCAACAACCTAAATGCAGCGGAACCGCAACGCAACACGATCCATCACGATGTGCAGCTTATCGATACCACACCATGGGGGACACGACAGGCACAAGCGCGCATCCCAACAAGATCTGTTGCACATACCATTCTGCCACATGGGCTTGGTACCATAAGCTAACGGCTTTTTTCTTTTTTCTTTTTTGTTTTTTGAAGCGGGTAGCCACTAACATTATTGTACCCATCTGATTCACTCAGGGTTCGAACCCATGATCTGTTGATCGGCAGTTAACAGTTAACATGTCTACCATTCAGCCACGTCCGTGCGGTGGGTATACCATGAGATAACTGCACCCATCTTTTGTTCCAAACCCAAAAGGGTTCGAAGTTCGAACCCAAAAGGGTAACTTAGTCACTAACAGTACTGTGTCCATCTGATTATTAACAGGGTTTGAACTTAAGATGGTAACTTAGTCACTAACAGTACTGTGTCCATCTGATTATTAACAGGGTTTGAACTTAAGATGGGTGCCTACAGGGTTTGAACTTATGGTCTGTTGATTATTAACAGTTACATGTGTAGAACCATTCCCATTCAGCCACATGAGGTGGGTACCATGAGAGAGAACTGCCTGCTTTTCTTTTTTGTTTCTAAAGGGGGTAGGGGCTGACAGATAGTATTGTGTCCATCTGACTCTTGCAGGGTTTGATCTCATGGTCTGTTGGTTACCAGTTACATCTGTTCCATTCAGCCAGTTGACTGCAGGGTTTGTACTATTTAGTTTAGCGGCTCGCCGAGAGAGAGGCTTGATGACCATTGGGTGGGTTCTGTGTATTCAGACTGCGTGCGGTCTGCCGCAACTGTCAGCTTCTTCAAGATATTGCCAGCGCGCACACCTAGAGTCACTTGACGACAAGGAATGGACTATGGAGTGACAACAATGCATGTTGTACTGCATATCAATAGAGGGGCAGGTTCATCTGCTTGGCTAAGAGTTTCCTGTCTTGAGGAGGGAAGAGGAGGAATATGCGGCGAAAAAAAAAAAAAAAAAAAAAGGGAATATGTGGCGAGCCTACATGTGTCGACGGGCCAGGAAGCATCCAGTTTGCAGCGAGAACACCGGCTCGACACACGGTTCACGGATGGCCGAAAATTCGCCACGTGGCATGTGTGACCGGCTCTCGCCACGTCATGAATGAGACAGTTTGCAGCTTGCTCGGTGAAAAACGGAAGTATTCATGGTTGTCATCAAATATTACTTTCGCTGTGTTATTCCTGGGACTCGCTCTTATCGCTGAGATGGTATATTTCTGAGTCGGTGCTGCCTTGTTTTCCAAAAGCAGAGGACGGAGGTCGAGGCACTAGTGGAAGGAGGTGGAGGCACTCGTCGTCGTCACTTTCTACTGAGAGTGTGTACTCTGTTTGCCGATATCTTATTTCTGGACTTTTGCACGGGCTTGCTCGACAACAATGGACGCAAGCCATCTGCAGCGTCAGACTGAACGGGGTGATCGACGGATCAGAAAGTTAAAAAAAAAATTAAAAAAAAGAAAAAAAAAAGAAAAAAAAAAGAAAAAAAAAGAAAAAAAAGAAAGTTTCCAGCTTGCAGTAGGGATGAACGACGCGTACTCATCGCTGTCGTTAGTCTTATACCATTTTTAATTATGTCCATGTTGTTCAATCTTGTAGAACAGGTTACTTGGCTTATCACCATTGCGCATTACAGGGTTCTGAAGCCGACGCCAGGGCCTTGCTCAGCAACAAAAGCTGCACTGCATCTGGTCCATCGCTGCCTTGGCAACAACCAACCTCCGATGCGTTTCATGTCGTCCATGCGATTAATGATGGGCGAGGTTGAGCGGCTCATCAACACATCAAACGTCGAATGGAAGACTTTTTTTTTTTTTTTTTTAAATCCACCCGAGGGTGGGTAGCCTAAACCGTATGTGTTCATATAGTCCGTAGACTATTCCCGTCCTTATCGAGGGAGATGCTAACCTTCTCTCGGCTCGAATGGAAGACTCACAGATGCAGAAGAGAGATGTTGCCTTGCCTTTTGCGGGTGAGGGTGAAGTTGACCAGATGCAGATGGCTCCTCAACATCGTCGTTCGGCCGGCAGGCTGTCTGCTGTGCATGCGTGTGCACGTGCGGGTTCAGTTACCGAAGCGTCTCTCTGCTCCCTTTCTGCTGTTGAGTTTGGAGCATGCCTCCCTCTCCAGAGCAGAAGGAGGGAGGGAACAGGCTGCTATTCTATTCAGTCTTCTCCGACATGTATGATCCCTCAGTATGTGGTCATGGTTCCGCTCATGGTTCCGGAAAAGGAATGTATAAATCATCTGCTCGCAACACCGATTCGTTATAAAAAAGGGCGAAATGCGACTGAGCAACGAAGTTGTCGTCGGTATGTCAAACACTCGGTCAGAAGACATCAACAGCAGCCCTCGAACGC